ATGTCCAGGCGGCACATGAAGAGAGTTATGGAAGTGTGAACTTGGTGATTTTCAAATAGCAGTCAAGGCTCTCTTTATGCTCAAACTCTAACAGGGCGAGTCTACCAATATCCCAAAGTAAGGAGTCCTAAGCACCTGGGGGGCTCAGGTCCTGCCGATGGGAAACGGCCAGGGTCCTGGTCACCATGGGGCCCTGCTGGGGCTCTGGGTCCTTGTGAGGGTGCCTGTTACCAGCGTGTGTGCATTCGGTTATGGCGATCATTGTCAGATGATAGAATTGTCCAGAAACTCAGGAAATGTTTTCTAGAAGCAGTGTCGGGGCTGAGGCTGGCGCTGGAGATCCTGGCATGGAAAAGCAGAGCTCATCCGCACTTTGCTGGAGCCCATGCTCCTCACCATGCTGGCTCGGGTTCTCATTGGCACGGCATGTTGTCTTGGACTGATGCGAGTTTTGGATGATGCTGCGTGTGAGGGGACACAGCGCAGGAGAGAGGAAATGACCCTGTGTGCTTCTGTGATGATTTGATAGTGCAGTGATTTCTGAGTCTGTTTAGTTCCCTTTTGTCTCACCGGCTCCGAGTATACAACGTTGGAGGGGAGGGAGAAAAAAAAATATTTTCTTTTACTTCCAGCAGCTGTAACTAAAATGGATAAAAGCCAGTTTAGGAGAAAGGTGTATACCTTTCATTTGATATTAATATTTTGATTTTTATGTACACAGAGGCCTTTACAGAAGGTAGCTAGATGCTGTTTCTACAAAGGATAATCCATTGTGGAGAAGCCACAGGAGACAGGAAAGGAGTTGGGCTTCTGACAGTGATAGATTATGAGGAGCAAATGTCTGCGTGCAGGTGCGGCGCGCAGGCTGGGCCCTGCTTCGAGTTCTTCTACACTGTGGGGAGCTGGAGCCCTTAGGCTGTGTCCTGTCTTCACGGGCTGCTTATTATAAAGCAGAAGTGTCTGCATCTAGAGGCGGAACAGCCTAGTACATAAAAAAACAAACAAACCAGAAGTGGAGCTGTGGCTCAGTGGTAGCCGAGTGTAACTTACTGATGCAAATCCAATGTTCCCACCTACGACCCTGTGAGCTCAGGGATGCTCGGACAATGAGTGATCAAATGCATGCCAGGAAAGCCAGGCTCCTGGGCTCATCAGTCCCAGCAGACACGAGACAGGCTCTCCATTTGGGTTCCATGAGCAGGACAGGTGACCTGGCAGCACGGCCTGCCCCGCCACCAGACCACCCAGCGTGGGCCTTGTGGATGGGCAGGCTGTGAACTCTCCACTCTTCTGTGCTACCAGCTCGGCTCCACCCTCCTGCTTGACTCGGTTCACCCAAGTCTCTGTCCGTCTGGACTGAGCAGCTTGGGAGTACTGTGCATCCCAGCACCTGAGTCCTCACCAGCTCTGCAACTGGGGCCACGTTCTTCTCTAACCACCTGGGGCGGCCAGCGTCGAACTTGTCTCAGCCCTACTGCCCGACGGAAGTCCTGAAGCCACACTAACCCCGTCGTTCCCCATCACCACCCGCAGATGATGGTGACACATCATGTGTGATCTGAGTTCATATTTGTAATCTAGACTGGAAAATGACCTGCATGCCAATGGCTTCCGGTTACCAAGTGACGTCGGTGGAACTTGGCAAATGCTGGTGCCGGCTGGCACATGGGAAATGATAGTGTGGGAATTGTTAGTACATCCTGACGCCGTGGAAGGACACCGGTGCTCGCTCATGACCGGGAGCAGTGAATGACATGTTCACAGCACACTCTGCCTCCTCCCTAGCCATGTGGGGCCATCTGTCCCCAGGGGAGGCAGGAGTGGTGGGAAGGTGCATTCTGCTTTCAGGCAGATAGGGGGAGACCGAGAGCCGTGTCTGCTTTTCCTTCCCTTCAGCTCCCACTGATCTTTGAAACCCGCTGGCTTCTTTTCCTGGGTGGCGTCTATAGATCGACTCCAAACACAGCCTGCAGTGATTTTCCAGAGAATCGATGAGTCCTCCCTGTTCCTACCAGACAAAGCCATCGGTTTCAGGGGTTCTTCTGAAGGGGGTGGGGTCGCCGTCGCCATGCCTAGTTCGGCTTGCTGAGGAAGTGCAGTCAGTCTCCGGCTTTCCAGAGGCTTCTCCCAGGCTGGAGGAGGGAAGCCGCCGTGGGAACCAGGGCTCAGCATACTCAGGGTTCCCGGAGTGCAGGGGGTGTTTTTGCTGCCCTGTGAACACCCCTCCTTGGTGGGGATTGCTCTCACATCTGCGCCTTCCGCCATCCTGTAAGCAAAGAACACAGGGCTCAGCTCTGGCTCGGCAGGCAGCCTTGGGGAGCGCGGCTGTTCCCGGGGGCCCAGGGATGATGCCACCCCGCCCTCCTCAGGAGGGTTCACGTGCTTGGTCCCGCGCTGGCTCTCCTGCCCGGAACAGGCTGGGATTCCATCCAGCCGGCTGCATGGCCGGTGGGTGGTGGGATTGGCCATTGGGCCTGATGAAATGATTTGGATGGCTCCAAAAGATACAGATAAACACCCGTCCCCTTACTATGGGAAGACAGAAAGTCACGTTTCCTTTACCCTCTTGTGCTCGGTACTGGGGGTCTGCAGATTAATCAGCTCAAGGCAGACTAGCAAGAGCACAGATGAGTGTGGGAGCCGACGGAGGGAGGAGCTGGCCCATCAATCAGCTAGAAGGTTCCATGTCTGATATAGTTGGGGAAGGTGAAGAGGGGGAAAATCCACATGGGAAGAGCAAATTGCTGTCTTAGGAAAGCAAACAAGTCTTTAGAAGAGCAGATAGGAGCTGGATTTTGTGACCTTTTTTGCCTATGCATGTATGGATGCTTTGTCTGTCTGCTTCAAGGTCCTAAAGCTCCCTTGGTCAAGGACATTTCAAGTATGTTTATTTCCATTCCCCTCTGGGAACAGATCTGCCCCAAAGAGGAGTCTACGGCCCCCTCAGATTTATGCTTCTTCTAGTCACATAAGAAAAGATCTTTTAAAATTTTTTAAATTATTTTTCCCCAGTAGTACTGGCGATCTAGGTCTCATGCTTACTAGGTAATTGTGTTTACTACTTGAGCGATGTCTCTAGTCCTTTTGCTTTTAGTTTTTTTTTTTTTTTGGGGTCCGGTTGTGGGCCTGAACTCTGGGCCTGGGTGCTGTCCCTCAGCTCTTCAGCTCAAGGCTAGTGCTCTACCACTTGAGCCACAGCACCACTTCCGGCTTTTTTCCTTTTTGCTTATGTGGTGCTGGGGAATCGAACCCAGGGCCTCATGCATGCAAGGCAAGCGCTCTACCACTGAGCCACCTTCACAGCCCTAGTTTGTTTTTTTAAGTTAGAATCTCCCTAGATTTCAGGGCCTGGGCCATGAACCTCAATCCTCCTACTTTTGATTCCCGAATAGCGGGGAACTATAGACCTGTGCCACTATGCCCAGTCCCAGATAAAGTTCTGCTGGGTGCCAGTGGCGCATGCCTGTAATCTTAGCTACTCAGGAGGCTGAGATCTGAGGATCACAGTTCAAAGCCAGCCCGGACAGGAAAGTCCGTGAGACTCTTATCTCCAATAAACCATTCAGAAAACCAGAAGTGGTCCGTGGCTCAAATGGTAGAGCGCTAGCCTTGAGCTGAAGAGCACAGGGACAGCACCCAGACCCAGAATTCAAGTCCCACAACTGACAAAAAAAAAAGTTCTGAGAGGACCGTTTTCCTTCCTTCCCCCCCTCCCTCCCTCCATCGCTTCCTTCCTTCCTTTCTTCCTTCCTTCCTTTCTCTTTCTTGTTCTCTCTCTCCTCCTTCCATCTCTCCCTTCTGTTTCTTTTGTTTTTTTCCTCTCTCTTTCTTCATCCCTTCTTGTCTCCCTTTGGTCCTTTTTTACTCTTGAGGCTGTTGACTCTCAAACGTCTTCCACTTAGATCATCTTAAGACAAAGCCGTGTTGGAGCAGTGGGCCTGGCGCTGCAGCTGGGAGGCTGGCTGCCCCCTCCCCCTCTCCCTCCTCCTCCCCCTCCCCCCACATGTTCCCTTGTAGGTCTTCCTTTACATGTGTGCTCTGCTCTTTCTTTTGATGCCTAAGTTAGGTCACTCCTTCCCTGTGCTTCCTCTCCATGGGAAACCCCCCGTAGACCTGTTCCCCTCTGTTCTCTCTCCTTGCAAGACTACACGTAGCCCTCTCTAGAAGTCCCTGGCTGCACCTGTCACCCAGGTAGCTGTGGGAGGGTGGGCAGTGCCAGGCTCTGAGGTCACTTCCTCACCCACTGCTGCGGCCACACCCCCACTCGCCCTTCCCGATGTAATCTCTCTCTGCCATCCCTTGTAGCTCCCTCACGGGTCACCCTGCTGTAGAGTGAGGCCCGGCCAGGCTGGCTGTCCCCAGGAAGCTCCCTTCTGCCTGAACCAGGTGGCGGTCTCCTTCCGGCAGTTCTTTCCCCTAATAGGAGCCGATGCTCTGGCTCTGGGCGCTGTCTAAGAGCGCATTGTCATGGGGGAGGCAGGCCGAAGGCTCACCAGGAGCGGCCACAAAGCAGAGGAGTTGGTGCCGGTGCCAATCATCAGGATCTCTGCTGAAACTGGCCAGCACGTTCTGTCTGGCTCCTTGGCTGGCTTGGAGGGGTGCATCGTAGCTCTGAGGAGGGGCCAGGTGTGGAGGCTTCTGGCAGGTCTTATTCTTCAGGAGGCCCTGGCCCCCCCTCCACTGCCCCCCCAAAGCTTCCGGTCCGAGCACACGGCCCCTAAGTCTTACTCTTCCCAAAGCCCCAGCCCTGTGGATGGGAAGGCCTGCCTGCTGCCTGCCAGAGGAACCGGTTTCTCCAGCCCCTGCTCTGCTGAAGGCAGGAGGAGCCGCTGAGGTCCAGGGAGGACAGCAGGCCAGTGTCTCCAGGCCTGCGGGTTGTAGTGGGGGGGCAGGTCAGGGCCTGCCAGGCTCCAGCCAGGGGAGCTCAGGGCCTGGACGGCAGGAGCTGGGACAGGCTCTGGGAGAGGCGGCTGCCTCCCGAGCCTGGGCCGGACTTCCAG